AGAAAGGCGCTCCGCCACTTGCTTCAAGGCCTTCTCAATCGGCCCAGCAGCACTGGCAGCTGCGGCATCTCCACCTGGCGAGCCGCCATTGGCGTCGCCGCTGCTGCCGTCGCCGCCGCCGCCGCCAGCGCCAGCGCCAACTCCCTCCTTGGCGCCGCTGCCCACGGCGTCGCCGCCGTTCATCTTCCGCTTCTTGTCCATGCGCTCTGTGACCTCCCGCTGCGCGGCCTCGACGCGCTGCAGGAAACGCTTGGGCTCCGTGTCCTTCTCCTCGAAGTTCTTCTTCCACGTGTTCAGCTCTTCTTTGAAACGTCGAAGATGTACTTTGTCTGCTTCTTCGCAGTCGAAAGACTCGAAATTGTCCCAACAATCACTGTTCATGGTGATGCCGATCACAGACGTTTGCCCCTTCTCGTCCTTGTCGCCACCACGATCACTGATGCCCTGCGCCCTCGCCAGCGCCTCCGTGGCCGCCTTCTTGTTGGCCTCGGTCTTCGCCAGATCCAGCGCAGCAGCACGTTCTTTGCCTTCCGCAGTCTGAAGTTGGGACCGTAATCGAAGGACTTGACTGACCAGTTGTTCATGTCGGTTGGGCGCAGCCCGCCAGGCGCTGTCCGCCTGCTTGACCGCCTCCACCTCGGTGCCAACCTCAACGGCCATGCTGATGACTCCGAGCCTCTGCCGCTGGGCATTCAGCACCGCGCTCATCTCCGCATCAGTTGATGCCTCGAGCGCCTGTGCGAGCAGCCTGTCGAGCTCCAGGTTCTTGCCTTTCCGCCCTCCAGGACTCTTGCCCCTACTACTCCTGTCCTTGCCGTCGCCGTCATCGTCCGCAAACGACACTGCTCGACCAATACTTGACGAACGGGGACGAAAGAGTGTGACCTTGCTGTTGCACGCTGCACACCGACACCCCTGCTCGGTGAGGACATCATTGTACTCGCACTTCTAGCAAGCTCAGCACCTCGACCAGGGGCGTGTGGGTGCCATGATCCCTGCTTTCGCACAGAACCGAAGACTGGGCCTGAAATCAGAAGTGTCAACTTAGGCACCACAAGTGAGGTACAGGGATTGGACTGAGCGAACCACCTCCGCACGGGGGCGAGGACTTGCTCGAGCCCAAGTGGCTTGAGGGAGGAGGAGGAGGAGGAGGAGACCTGTTGCTGAACGGGCCTCGTCTAGCAGCTGAGCAGCACGACGATTTTTCACAAGAAGCAGCTCACCACCCTCATTGGCATAGCCCTCGCCCTCAGGCTTGAGCGACGCCTGCCGTGACTTGGGTCGAGCTGGATTGAAAAAGGACTTGAAAGACCGCTGCCTAGCTGCACTCGCCCAGGATGGAGTAGCAGCCCGACCTATGCGTGTCTCACATAGCCCGATGTAATCATGATCGATGCCTAGATCGTGAACTATATACTTCCACGCTTTGTCTCCTAGACATGTCACGTTGCCGAACAACAACTTGCTGGTGCCAGTGGGCTCACTAGGCAAAGACCCCGACTGCGGAGGCTGATTCACCGCAGCCTCGTCGGTACTGACAGAATCTAGTCCATGCTCCTGCCCCGCCTGGGACGCACCAGCAGCCGTCGGCGCCTTGGGAGGCGGCGCCTGCGGCGAAGCCTTGGCAGGCGGGCTCTCCTTGCCTGGTGCCTTGACCGCCGCCGCCTCGGCCGCTCTAAAGCGAGCCGCAGAAAGGCGCTCCGCCACTTGCTTCAAGGCCTTCTCAATCGGCCCAGCAGCACTGGCAGCTGCGGCATCTCCACCTGGCGAGCCGCCATTGGCGTCGCCGCTGCTGCCGTCGCCGCCGCCGCCGCCAGCGCCGGCGCCAACTCCCTCCTTGGCGCCGCTGCCCACGGCGTCGCCGCCGTTCATCTTCCGCTTCTTGTCCATGCGCTCTGTGACCTCCCGCTGCGCGGCCTCGACGCGCTGCAGGAAACGCTTGGGCTCCGTGTCCTTCTCCTCGAAGTTCTTCTTCCACGTGTTCAGCTCTTTTTTGAAACGTCGAAGATGTACTTTGTCTGCTTCTTCGCAGTCGAAAGACTCGAAATTGTCCCAACAATCACTGTTCATGGTGATGCCGATCACAGACGTTTGCCCCTTCTCGTCCTTGTCGCCACCACGATCACTGATGCCCTGCGCCCTCGCCAGCGCCTCCGTGGCCGCCTTCTTGTTGGCCTCGGTCTTCGCCAAATCCAGCGCAGCAGCACGTTCTTTGCCTTCCGCAGTCTGAAGTTGGGACCGTAATCGAAGGACTTGACTGACCAGTTGTTCATGTCGGTTGGGCGCAGCCCGCCAGGCGCTGTACGCCTGCTTGACCGCCTCCACCTCGGTGCCAACCTCAACGGCCATGCTGATGACTCCGAGCCTCTGCCGCTGGGCATTCAGCACCGCGCTCATCTCCGCATCAGTTGATGCCTCGAGCGCCTGTGCGAACAGCCTGTCGAGCTCCAGGTTCTTGCCTTTCCGCCCTCCAGGACTCTTGCCCCTACTACTCTTGTCCTTGCCGTCGCCGTCATCGTCCGCAAACGACACTGCTCGATCAATACTTGGCGAACGGGGACGAAAGAGTGTGACCTTGCTGTTGCACGCTGCACACCGACACCCCTGCTGGGTGAGGACATCATTGTACTCGCACTTCTGGCAAGCTGAGCACCTCGACCAGGGGCGTGTGGGTGCCATGATCCCTGCTTTCGCACAGAACTGAAGACTGGGCCTGAAATCAGAAGTGTAAACTTAGGCACCACAAGTGAGGTACAGGGATTGGACTGAGCGAACCACCTCCGCACGGGGGCGAGGACTTGCTCGAGCCCAAGTGGCTTGAGGGAGGAGGAGGGGGAGGAGGAGGAGGAGGAGAGGAGGAGAGGAGAGGGAGGAGGAGTATCGAAGAAGGAGGAGGATGAGGAGGAGGAGGAGGAGGAGGAGAAGCAGCGGTGCAGCATGCTGAGCCAGAGTTCCAGACAGTCGATTTTTCCAACCAGCCTCGAACTGACCCCTTATCCCTGAGATCGACGAGCGCAAGGCGATGACAATCTTGGCGATGCGCACTCAGAAACGGAGGGAATCGTGAAGATCGGCACCGAAATAAGGTCATGCCAATCATAGGGATAGGGAGCTGTTGGAGGCTTGCGAGGTTCCATCGATGCAGCTTGATCTGAAACGCGCCAACCTTCCCATAGATGGGACGGGGGCTCCACGGTGCCGCAGCTGGCCCAGGAGGGCGAACAATGCAGAGGAGCAAAGCGGTCCAGCACTGCCGAGGAGCACGCGAACGGGAAGCTCCGTCCACGGAAAGAAGGAGTGGAACCATGCACAATACATCGACACACGCTCTCGGAGTACGGATTGTCGCTGGGTCCCCCTGGCGGCGTCTCCGCTGCCGCCCCTGGCGTGCTCCGCGCGCCAAGGGGGGGGGGTCCAGCGCCGACCCACGGAGGAATCTGAACATTTACGTGCGTGTAGCTTCTCGTGATCCGATGACGGGGGGGGGGGAGGGGGCAAATATCTGCTCACGCGGCCGACTTTCCCCGCGCCCCCTCACGCAGGGGGGGGGGGGGGGGGGGCGCCCATGGGTTCGAGGAGAGCACCCGGCGGCGGGGCCCGAAATCCGCTGCGTGCAACAGCCCTCGGGGGGTGCTCGCCGCCCGCGGCCCCCGATCGCGGGGCGATTACGCGTGCGGCCCCCGTCTGGCGCCGCCTCGGGGGTGCCCGCGTGCAGCTTGCGCGGAGCGCTGCAGGGCCGGCCCTCCCTCCCCCTCCTCCTCCTCCTCTTCCTCCTCCTCCTCCTTCCTCCTCCTCTCCTCCAGTCCGCCCTCCCCCTCCCACTCCTCCCCTCCCCTCCGCCTCCGCCTCCTCCTCCTCCTCCTCCCTCACTCCTCCTCCTCCTCCTCCGCCTCCGCCTCCGCCTCCGCCGCCCCGCCGCCTGCTCCTCATCCTCCTCCTACTCCTCCTCCTCCTCCTCCTCCTCCTCCTCCTCCTCCTCCTCTCCTCCACCTCCCCGTCCCCTCCTCCTCCTCCTCCGCCCCGCCACCTCCTCCTCCTCCTCCTCCTCCTCCTCCTCCTCGCCGCCTCCTCCCCCGCCTCCTCCGCCCCGCCTCCGCCCCTCCTCCTCCTCCTCCTCCCTCCGCCTCCCTCCCCCTCCTCACCTCCCCGCCGCCTCCTTCCTCCTCCTCCCCCTCCGCCTCCTCCTCCTCCTCCTCCGCCGCCTCCGCCCCGACTCCTCCGACCTCCTCCTTCCTCCCCTCTCCTCCTCCCTCCTCCTCCTCCTCCTCCCCCTCCCCTCCTCCTCCCCTCCTCTCCTCCTCCTCCTCCCCTCCCCGCCTCCTCCTCCTCCTCCTCCTCCTGCCTCCTCCTCCTCCTCCTCCCTCCTCCTCCACCTACCCCCCGTCCCTCCTCCTCCTCCCTCCCCCTCCTCCTCCTCCTCCTCCTCCTCCTCCTCCTCCTCCTCCGCCTCCAGCCTCTCCTCCTCCTCCTCCTCCTCCTCCTCCTCCTCCTTCCCCCCTCGTCCTCGTCCTCCTCCTCCTCCTCCTGCTCCTCCTCCTCCGCTTCTTGCCATCCTCGATGTCCCCACGGTTGCGGTCGCGAGCGTTTGCTCAGCGTGCCGCGGCGGCGGCCGCGGCGACGCGCCGTGCCCTGCGAGCGCACAGCGTGTCCCTGCGCCCCGCGGGGCGGGAGGCCGGGAGAGGCTCGGGACGCGGACGCCGGGGGGGCCGGGGCCGTGGGTAGCGTGTCGCGCCGAGGCGCGGTGGGCCAGAACCGGCAGGGCGACACGGTCACCGAAGGCTCCTGACCGTGCAGTCGGGGCTGACTGGAGAGGACACGCGAGGAGGACACAGCAAGTCCCTTCCGAGGGCCACGTGGCCACAGGGATGCAGAAGGCATGAGTCGCGACGCACAGGGCACAAGGGGGTACCCTTGATCCGGCACGGTCGGCACCTACTGATCAACATCGACTGCACCGCCCACGCTCTTGTTGGCAGATTCCCCTCTCGTCCGGCCCGATCCTTGCTGGTCTTCAACCGGAACTTCTCCACTAGCGACTCCTCCGCGCGGGGCAGCCGCGCCAGCCGGGCGAACTCCTGCGCGGTGAGGACGCCGTTCCTGTTGACGTCCATCTCCCGGAACACGGCCTTGGCGTCGCCGCCCCAGCGGATGCCTCTCGCCGCGATCTCGAACTCGTTCCTTCGGGGAGCAAAGCAGCTGCGTAGACACAAACTTTCGGCTCTCCGCGCGGAGCTCCAGACACTGATGCTTACGTTTTTGGTTCTCTGTCGGTTCCTGGTGATGACCCCCTCGCCGGAGATGTCGAGTCCCTTGAAGGCCTGCTCCGCCGTAAGGAACTTCTGCAGGAGCATGGTCGCGAAGGTGCGGAACTCCTCTGGGGCCACGGCAGGCCCCAGACCTCCTTCCTCACCCTCTTCCTTCTCCTCGTCCTCCTCCTCCGCTTCCTGCTCCTCCTCGTCGTCGTCGTCGTCGTCCTCCTCCTCCTCCTCCTCCTCGTCGGCTGGCTCTGATCTTTTTGTTCCTGGTCAAGCCTGAAGCGCGCGCCATCAAGAGGATTGCGATCACCTCCTTCGTGCAGGCTGCCCTCTTGTCAGGCATGGAGGCCCGTGTCTTGGATTCGACCTTCTGCGAGCAGGCCGTCCGTGTTCTGATGTTGGCTTTGAGGATGGGCCTAGGGCTCCAGGAGACCACCGAGAGCGACGATGGAGACATTAGGCGCTGGGCTTCGAACACAGTTTGAAGTACTGGAGGACCCTTCCGCCGACCAGTAGCTTCGAGTCAGTAGATTAGGATGGTATCAGAGCTGGGTCAGATACCCCGAGGCAGGCACATCGTCAGGTCAGTGCTTGCATCATGGGGGCCATGGATCGCCCCGACACCATCAACGCGTCCTGGGAGCTGGACCCTAAAGCAAACCCTTGGGCTCTGCCGTTTCGGGAGGACCTAGAACACGCTCATGCTCACTGCGAGGATTCCTGGGAGTTGGCTCCTTCCGATTGCCCGCTCTTCAGGCTCCTGTGCGGTAGGGACTACAGTCGAGGTACTACCAGAAGGAACGCCCAATAAGGAACATTTTTTTTTTTTTTTTCTGGCCACGGTGGGCCTAGGCCACAAGCAAATCCCGCGACATAAATCTAAGAAACGACCCGAATCCCCGAGCCCATTCCGAACCCAAAGCGGTCCTTACTTCAGCGTCTTGGCTGTACTCCGATCGGGCCGTCATCGTCTTCACCGTCCTGCCGGCCAGGGCCGTCCCCAGGTCCTTCGGCCCCGCCCGAGTTCCAGGACGAGGCCCCCGAGGCCCCCGAGGTGGAGGAGGCGGCGGGCCAGGAGGGCCGCTTCGTGTGCAACATGTGACTACCTACCAGACCACCCCAACCCAACCCGAAGACCCGAATCTCGGGTTGGGGGGGGTAAGGGTTCCGCATGTGTTTTTCGATGTTTGCCGACCCCCTCCCCACTGGACGTCGAGGGTAAATCTGAGCCTTCGGGTTTGGGTTGGGGTGGCTTGGTGGGTGGTGAACATGGTGCTCAGCACGGGCACCAACTGCAACGAAACGGTCTGCACCATGCAGGCGCTCCCACTCCACGCAGGGCGGGCCTCACCGAGTACGTAACGAAGCTTCGCTGCTGCCGATCACCGGCCAACGTTTTCGGTGCTCGTCGACGAAGCGCGTTGGTGATGCTGCCCAGCTCCGTGGTCCGCCGCAACGCCGTGCTTGCTGCTCTTGCTCACCTGCCTTGCGAGACCGACGGCGGCAGCCGCGGGGTCTTACGCTCGAGGAGCTGGCCTGCCCCGTGTGTAGCTGCTAGGCTTACACACCTCTCCAGCCCGCAGACCCCTGTCAGATCTCACGGCGGCCTGCCGCGGCCGGCAGCACCACGTCGTCGTCCGGGCCGCGGGCTCGACGGCGACCGTGGGGCGCTCACGGCAGCAGCGCGGACCTCTATATTTTGCACTCGGCAGGGGCAGGGCCGAAGGGAGCGGCGCGCAGCGGGCCGCTCGGCTGGCAGCGGGAGTGTCCAAAAGTAGTTGTGACTTTTTCGCGGCAGATGATGGCCTCATCGTCCTGCGCTGCAAGTCACCACAGCGGAACTGTGCCACGGCGCGCGACGGGGGGTTGCATGGTGGTCGCGTCCCAAGCAGGCGAAAGGAGGAGCGTCCCGAACAAAACAAAACGAGTCGACGGGAGGCTCATCCGAAGACGAGGCCCCCGCGGTGGGGCACGCACGCAGGCGGGCGCGGTGTGCGGGGGGCAGGCCTGGGCGGCGGCGCTCTCGAGGGGAAAGGTGTGGCTCGGGCGCCGAGCCTCCTCCAGAGCAGCTTCTGCATGCACTCGCCACTTCTTTCGACTGCACGCAAGGGTGGCCCTGGGCAAGAGTGACCTTTGCTGCGCGGCTTTGGGGGGGGCGCGAGGGGGCAAAACCTAGGCGCGCAGGCCGCTGCTGCCGCCTCGCGTTCAGCGATCGGGGGGCCCCACTGTGCCCGAACCAGAGGTCACTACGGCGACGGCGAAGGGTCACTCGTACGTCTAGTCGATCGCAGCAGCAGGGTGGACAAGCGCGATCAGGCCGCCGTCGCCAGCGGGTGTAATGGCTTCCAAGGCCACTGGAAAGCCATCCGCAGAGGCGGCCAGACTATCGCGAGTGACTGACAAGCTGGGCCCACCACGTTTGAAAATAACGCGCGCCGCGTTCCAGTGACTGACGTAAGCCGTATCGAGCAGGTCAGTGGGCTCTCACAGTGGCGGCACTCTTCAACAAACTCATACAAGCTGGACGGATGCAGGAGCTCGGCTTGCTGATCCGTCACTTCAGGTGCAAGAGGTGCTACAACGAGGACATGCCGAGGCTGCGGTCACCTTGGCGGATGGAGAGACTCTTTCATGCGATCAGGGGGCTCAGACCACTTTCTCCAAGCTGATGCTCGAAGGTGCGAAGTTGGCACCAAGTAGCGTCACGGACGGAGGGGGTTCCTTTTTCAAAGTGGGACTCTCGCCACCACGCCGCGCGCAATCGTTCTTTTTCAAGCAGTGGTTAACAGGATTGAGGTCTTTTTTTACCAGAGAATTCGCTAAATAGAAGGACCCGCAACTTCGACGCACTTAGCGCTGCACGGATTTATGGCGGCCCTGTTTCGAAACAGGGTTGTCGTTTGGGACTTCCTCGATTTTCATGGCCACAAGTGTCAACTTGTGCAGCGGTTACACGGATGGGGGGGCGGTCCGAATTCAAAAGGGGGACCTCGCTGAACACCTCGTTCGACTGTATGATCATTGTGTTTTTGCGTTCCCGACTACGCGCCAGAAAGGTGCAAGGCAGCTCAGTCTCAAGACAGGGCCCTCGCCAGAAGGGCAGGCCCGGCGGGGCTAGCCCTTCGGACGGGGGCGCTTCTTGCAGTGGATGGGAGGACTTGTAGGGGCTATCCATGGGGGAGGGGTGTACTGCAGTGTATCTCACGCATCTTTGGTCTACTCTGGTCCTCCTCCTCCTGGCGTGGTGCTTGCGACGCCAGGGGGGGGGGGGCGACCCGCCCATCCTCCTCCGCACCCGAGGGGGGGTGCGCCGTCCCCGTGGAAAGGGCGGAGTGGGCACAGAAGGGTACCACAAGTCTCTCGGCAACCAAGCGTGGGCACGACAGGCCCGCCACAACCAGCCGGAGGCACCCCATGTGCCCTCCGCCCTACGTGCAACTTTGCGCCGCACGCTACGCCTGTGAATGGTGTTTTGGTACGGGTCAGGATGCTCAGGCGTTCATCTTCTAATGGGCCACTTCCCGCAATGAGTGTATCTTCTGGCAGGGACCTGCGAGGAAGGAGCTTGGAGGGAGGGTTGGCGGCAACATCGCTGATGCGTCTTGGGCTGACACTGCTCCTTCTTCCTTTGCCAAGCACTGGGCCTGCCATCGCTCGGACGTCCATTCCCCGTGCATGTTTCTGTTTCGTGCGTTTTCATCATGTTCTCGAACATAAGTCAAAATGCCATTATTAGTGTTGTTATTGCTCTTCTTCTTCTTCTTATTATTATTATTATTACTATTCGTATTATTATTCGGATTCTTTATTATTATCAGTGCTATTATTATGATTAATAATATTATTATTATATTATATTATTATTAATAATAATATTATTATCATCATTATTATTATTACTACTCTAATTCGTATTATTAGTATCGTCATCATCATCATTATTATTACTGTTGGTCTGCTTATTATCACGATTTTCATTATTATGTAGTAGTAGTAGTAGTAGTAGTAGTAGTAGTAGTAGTAGTAGTAGTCGTAGTCGTAGTCGTAGTCGTAGTAGTAGTAGTAGTAGTAGTAGTA